TATACAAAGCATATATTAGCATGTATTAGTTATGCAAAGAGGTTTCATTGTGATAGTTCCATGTATGCACATAATAAAATATGCACATGACCAGATTAGCTCCCTCTATTACTCTTTCTTGTTTCCCCTCCCCCCTTTAAACAATTTTAATAGATTTCATTATTCTGTTTTCATAAGTACATATGAAGTGCTCCCATCACATTCACCCCCTTTCACTCTCTCTTTTCACCCTCTCCCCTCCTGCAGGTTCCCACCCCCAAACAGCCTCCCCACCACTTCACACTCTTGTCATTCTTTTTTTTAGGTCTTGACTCCACATGTGAGAGATAACATGTGATATTTGTCTTTCTTAGCCTGGCTTCACTTCACACGATGATATCCAATCTTGTCAACTCTTCGACTCCTTTTTGCCTTAACGAGTTTAATTTATAAATTTCTTTATAAGGACTTGAGGGTAAAGAGAATAGTCACAGAATTTCCCACATTGCATGGTTCCTACAGATGCCTAATCGATATGTAATTAACAAGCCCTGTGTTCAAGACATCCTCTCCACCCCCATAAATTTGGCTTTCCTCCATAGGGAAATTAAGTTAAAACTTAAGACAATTTAAATTCTCAAGGTTAGAAACACGTCATTAGAGCAATTGTAATTTGTTGAAGAATCCGTGTAAGTTTGGAAGAATTTGCATTTCTCTTAGGAGCACAACCTTGTTCAAGTTCAGTAACAATTTAAAACAGATGCCCTCTGCAGGGCAAATCCTTTTGCACACACAACCTGACACTACCCCAGGAAGACTGGGACAGCTTCCCAAGTTTTTCCAGCTGCTTAACTCCAACTCTGTTTCTCATTTGAATATATACTGTGTTTTTCTTATTGAAAATCATGTTTTAAGTGGCTAGTGTTTTACGTTTCTTTATGTAAGATTTTATGGCATGTCATATCAAGTATAAATGTTTGTTTGGGTTTGGCTATTTAATAGTATTGGATAAGTAATACAAATGATAAAAATATTTAAATAATTATATTTTTCAAAATCAAATTGCCTGTGAAAGTAGACTAATAGCATTTTGCTTGGTGGGTTCCCCACCGCCCCCCGCCTTGGGTCTTCAAAAACTGTGTTTGAAACATTTAATTCTACTGCAGCAACATTTATTTAAATTTGATACTGTCAAGCAACATTTAATTCTGTTTTGCCCATATGATAAAGGTATTAGAGACCTAACACTAGTCTGAGTTAGAACCTTCTACTGAAGCATCATGTTAACTATTGAGAATAGCGACAGCACACTTCCTTCTTTGTGAGGCCTCATGTGCTTTTTATTAGGCTCCATAGAGTGTGATTTCTTAAAATCCAGATTGTAAGTATATGCCAGAATGCTAACACTCAGTCAACAAACAATGATGCAAAGACCTGCTGCATACTCCATACTGTGATTCACCAGGGCCTACAGAAAAATAAAATAAAATAAAATAACATCAGTGCCCTGAATAATACGCAGTGTCACAACAGCATTAAGCAGTACAAGGTCTTAAGTTTAAGGATCCCCAATGGATCCTTAAAGTTTTTTTTAAATAGACAAAATGCTGCATGAACATATAGATATGAAATATCAGTGGGCAAAGCATAACAAACTGAGGCAAGGGGAAAAGTACACAGGAGTTCGACCTTTCCTATTTTGTAAAGTAAGGGATTTGTCGTATAATGAAGTTGTTTTTAAGTATGGATTTATTCTCAGAGAATCACATATCCTCTTTGGGAATTTTTGAAATATGTTTTTATTTCAGGGATAATCTTTTAACAGTTTATCAAATTGTATCCTGGATTATCTCGAGCACTGTTTTTAAACTGTGGGTCATGACCCCCTAGGGGATTGTGACCTATGAATTGGTGAAGTGGAGCACAGCTAGCATTGTTTTAAATAGAAGTGAAGGGGGTGGGAAATACCAGCATGTGTGACTGTTGGTAAGAGCGCAGTAGTATTTTATAAAGTGTTTGCTTCTGTTTTGTACACATGTGCCTGAGTGTGGGTCGTGATGTAAAATGTATTTACCACTGTAAATGGCAGTCAGCTGAGTGTGGAAGTCATTAATCACTAAATCACTGGTTCTCAGCCTCCTCTGCACATTGGAGTCATCTGTACAGCTTTGAACACAGGGCTGCAGGGTGCCACCTGCGGAGACTCAGATGTGATTTATTCAGGATGTAATCTGGGCTTGGCACTGGCTTAAAGCTTCTCAGATGTGCAGCCAGGGTCGAGAACCCCTGAAGAGTTGGGTTTTTGTGACCAAGTTCTGCAAATAATTCTAGTGCCTGGCTTTGGATTTGAGTTGTTTAAATTTTCTTTGGGACTCAGTCATCCTGTAAATTAGGATTGTTACAGAGTGTGATGGTGCAGAGGAGATGTAAGATGTTGATAGATAATGTTTTTCCCTCAAGAGAAGGGAATCTAGTAAGGGAAAATGAACAATGGCATCACAGCAGTTTGGGTAGACAAATGTGACAGGATTTATAGAGAAAGCAAAAGAGAAATTGGAATGGTCTGAATTGTGTGAGCAATTCCACCTGCTCTTCTACTCAGGGAGTGAAACTCCCAGAATTATCATGGCACTGGGAGCACTGGAGTCTGCTTTCCCCCAGCTGATCTCAGTTTATAGGTGCCTTTTACTAGCCTGACCTTTCCCTGCAGCAAGGGTAACTATTTTTACTCTTACGTGAGCCCTTCCCTTCACAGGAGATGCAATTCCACCACATTCATCTGTGGAATATGACTTAGTTCCATCAAAACAATGCCATCCTTTGTATTTAATGACTCAAGCTTCACATTCTTGCACAATTTATAACTGTGCATTTTATAATTGTGTAAGAGTGAGCACATGGGGCCTTTATACCTCATTATTTTATATGGATGCACTTAATTAGTACCGTAATATAGATAACATAAAGGAAGACCCTCAAAGGATTAAATTACATTATTCACTAGCTCTTTGCGGCTCATCCTGAACATAGTGGAGCGGTAAATCAAGTCAATCTTCTTATCTATCTATTCATATAAGGATTAGAAGGTGTGAAGTGGTAAAAATAGAGAGTAAAGCTTATTGAGATTATATTCCACTAGTTCTATCTATGTGTGAAGTACAAGTTTAGAGGAAAACTTGGATCATGAAGAAAAGTGGAAGCCAGGTACAGTGGTGTGTGCCTTTGGTCCCAACTACTCAGAAGGTTGAGGCAGGAGGATCACATAGTGAGACACCATCTCAAAAAAAAGAAAAAAAAGGACAGTGAAAGTCGAATTTAAAATATTCCTGAAAAAAGTGATTGTGATGATAATGTTGATGGTGATGTTTATGTCCGTGATGGTGGTGGTGATTGTGACAGTGATGCTAGTGGTGACGTCGATGATGGTGGCGATGCTAGTGGCGATGGTCACATTGGTGATGATGGTCATGTTGATGATGAAGATGATGGGGATGTTAGTTTTGGTGGCAGTTGAAACTATTCAGAATTTACTGAGTAGCCTACCCTGGACCAATGCATTCCATGGATTATTTTTCTTTCTTTTTAGAACAATGCTTTAAGGTAGGTTATAATCACTGCTGTTAGGTAGGTTATAACTGCTTTTAGAATCACCCTATTTTATACATGAGGATTTCAAGCTAAGTAATTTGCTTGAAAGATTCATGTGGGACTCATGGCAAAATATGTTGCATCCAGGCCTGAAAAACTGAATCATCTCAAATGACTGGAGAGGGTCCTGGAGGATATTCCAGGACAGAAACCTAACATGGACCTGCATATAAAGGATGGGATGTGTGCGACACTTGCATGGGAGAGAATCAGGGAGGTTCAGGTGGGGAAGTCAGAGACCAGTTACGGACCTGTCAAAGGAGTTGAGATAATGGCATATTGTGAAAGCATTGGGAGGGAAAAAGAATGAGATGATCTTATACTAGTGTAAGGCATTTAATAAGACATCCTAAGAATGGAGAGAAAATGCTAGGACAAATGTGTATTTAGAAAAGAAACATATTTGTATGAGTATAATTGAATACTGGAATAACACATAGCAGTCTAGAAGGATATAATCCAAATTAAAACAGAGTCCTCTGCTGAGGATAGAGAGTTTAGTGGCAATGGTCATAGGAAACTTGAGCTGTGATCTAATATTTCTGTTTTGCTTTCTTTGCAAACAAAATGAGTGCATTCATGTACTTAGGTAATTTTGAAAAAGGTAGGGTATTGATAGAGTTAAAATGAAATATGAAGTAACCTGGGAATTTCATGTTCAGGTTAGTCCCAATTCCACAATCTCAAGCTAGAAGATTTCAGGGCCCTTTTTGATGGAACTGACATGGTACAAGGGGTAAAGGCAAAAACAAATTGTCACTTAATTGGTAGAGATGACAGAATGGTTGTTTAGTCCCATTTTTTTTTTTTGGTAGTACTAGGGGTTGAACTCAAGGCCTTGTGCTTGCAGACACTCCACTACTTAAGCCACACCCCTCACTCTTTCTGATTTAGTTATTTGAGGAATAAGATCTTGCATTTTTGCCTGGATTGGCCTGGACCACAATCCTTCTATATATTCTTCCTATGTACTGAGATGATAGGTGTTCATCACCACACCCAGCTGTTGGTTGAGATGAGTTCTTACTAACTTTTTGCCAGGACTGTTCTCAAACTGCAATCCTGATCTCCACATCCCAGTAGCTGGGATTTTGGGAGTGAGCTACTACCTGGCAATTAGTTCCATTTTTAAAAAAATGAAAGACCATTTGGGATATTTAAAATCTGAGCATCTGCATGGGAATTTAGGGAGCTTTCTAGTAATGAAGACCTCTCCCTTCTTTCATGGTCCAGCATGGGAAGGGAAAGCCACCGCTGTGCTCTTATCTGTCAGTGTCCTCCCAGAGCCATATTAAGAAGAGGCCATCTTTGTCGCTTTTGTGGTGAATTTTAAATGCATACAAATCCTAAAGGGTGGATTCTGTTTGTTGTAGATGGAGATATGAGATCTGGACTTCTGAATTCTACCAGAAAATATCAAATGCTCAAGCCCTTCAGAAGGCTGGGCGGTCAGAGCTGAACTGAAGTGAGAGAGAAGAGATGCTGGCCTGACGGGGTATGTAACAACAAAATTATAAACCCAGTATGTAGAAACTGAGGGATTTTTGTTCATCTCCAAGCTTGTCAACATGATTGAGGATATTGTGTGTCATAGTTTTGTAATGTTACTGTGGAAGTTTTCCCAGGTATCTGAGGGGTTCTGTTCATATGCCATAGCAGCATGGACACCCCCGAATCAGGACAGTTAGGAGACCCTAGAGCATAAAGTAGAATCACACTTAGGTGTAGGGAGTACTCACCATGTGGCAGGCACAACTTACTGGGTTAATTCATTCAATACTCACAACAGCAACTGTTGTTGCCCTTAGAAATGGTGCCATCAGGGAGCACAAGAAACTGAGAAAGGACAGAGCCTTTACCAACAGTAATTATTTCACTCCTTTTTCTCCCTTGTGCATTTCCCACAACCTTCCCCCGTCTCCACTTTTCATCTTTTTTTCCCATAGAATTGTAAATCTTTACCTTGAAAGGAAATGAACATCAAAGGATCATCAGTCTAGGTCACTATGGCACACAATTCTACAAAGGGCAACAGTGATATTACCATTCTTCCAGAATCTTACTGCTCTCTCATCAGGAGAACGGGTTGACTTTCCTACCCTTTGAGTCTGAGCAGGACTCAGTGACAGTCTTGACAAAGAGAATGAGGCAGAAGTGATACCAAGTGATTTAGCCTAGATCAGCAAAAGTGATGTGGTTTCCACCTGCCTTACTCAGTGTCTTGGGATGTGTGCCCTTGAGATCTGGCCACCAAGTGGTGAGGAAGCCCAGCCCCATGGTGAGTCCTCTTGCAGGAGTTCCAGCTGACAGCCCACTGACATGCAAGCATGCAAGCAAGATATTAGTAGGCTGGTACCAGCCTCAAGCTGCTTCCCCACTGATGCCTAATAGAGCAGAGATAAGCTGTCCCTGATGAACCATCCTGCTGAGCTCTGCCCTATGGCAGATTCATGAGCAAAATAAACACTGCTGTTTTGGGTGACTCACTTAAACCCACAGAAACACCACCCAAGATAAATACTCTTACATTCATTAGCAAGTAAGAAAGCAGAGGACAAGTGAGATGAAGTCATTCACCCAAGGCCACATAACTAGTGCATATGTTGCTGGGACGTAAACCAAGAGCTCTCTCTGTCTTGTGAGATTCATCCCTGTTCCTTTTTAGGCTCAGAGCTGGAGCCCTGGTTGCCCCTGAGACACAATTGCTCTCAGAGAACAAAGCCTTTTTGAGTAAAAAGGCAAGAGAAAAATGTTTTAGGGAACTAGCTTTGTAATGTGTTATGACTCAGCTTCCTTAATGTGGACCCTTCTTAAATGCCTCTAGCACTGGCTTGAACATAGAGTTCTCCTGGGAAGCTATCTACTTTTCCACTATGTGCTCACATACTGCATTATCTGCTTGGGTTACACAATATGCTTTTACCTATCATGTAAAATAATAATTGTGTGACTATGTGATCAATGTTTCTATCCCTTGTTTGACTTTGTGAAGGTCAAGGATTGGTCTGTCTTTAACATGTGTCACCTTATTTCTTTTGGCATAGACCCTGACTTATAGTAGAAAATTCAAAAATGCATGTGAAATATATACCAGAGTGTTAAATGTGAGTTTTCCTGATAATGGTCATGATAGAGTAAAGAAGTATATAGTTCCAGGGATAGATAATCTTATCTTGGTGTTGAAAGTTTGTCCTTTGAGGCTGTTAAAAAAGTAAACGAAGACCCGGCATGGTAGTACACACTCGTAATCCCAGCTCTCAGGAAGCTGAGGGAGGAGGATTGCAAATTTGAGGCCAGGCTAGGCTACAGAGCGAGACCCTGTCTCAAAAAAACAAGGATTGGGGATGTAACTGGAATGTTTGCCTAGCATGTCTAAGGCCTTGGGTTTGATGCTCAGCACCACAAAAATATAAACAAAAAAGTAAATTGAGACACTATAAAATTTTTTAGAGAGTTGGTGTGAGCAATCAACAATTCTTGAATAGCAGTTCGAATCAGAAGAGATACTGGAGCTCTGTCAAGGGAGACAAGAGGGTAGTTCTGGGGGAGGCTTTTATAGGGCAGATGAAGAAGTAAAGCAAGGAAAATAGTGGTTACAATTAATAGTTGCCTTATTTAGTTTAGCACATTAGAAGTACAAGACATAGTATAAAGTTTCACTTATGTTTGCAAATGAAGCAAAGCTTGGGTCACTTATGAGGCCTATTTTTGTCTGCTCAGGGATTCTTTAGACCTGGTCATTTTAACAAAACCAAAGATTCCTTTCTCACTTCCTCTGTGTTTCCTGTTAGATAAAAACATCTTTGTGTGTGACTTGTAAAAATAAATAACTTCAATAAAATGCAACTGTAAACTAAACAGTAGCAGAAACTGCCACAGGGCTTTGAGACACTATAATTCACTATACAACATTGAAGACCTGACATTGATATGTGTAATTGGTATGTTGGTATGTCCCCATCAAATCTCATGTTGAGGCTTGGTCCTCAGTGTTGCAGTGACAGGACATACTGGGGCCTCTAATAGGTGTTGGATTGTGGGGACAGAGCCTTCATGAATTGATTAATGCTTTTGTAGCCAGAGTGAGTTATCACTCTCACATGGCTGCATGGTCACTGTGAACGTGGGTTGTTATGAAGTGAGCCTGGAACCTGCACCCCACTCTTGTCTATGTATTTCTCTTCCACGTGCACCACTTGCCTTTCCACCATGAGGCCCTTGGCAGAGGCCAGTGCCATGTTCTAGGACTTCCAGAACCACTGGCCAAAATAAAGCTCTTTGTTTATAAATTACCTAGTCTTCGGTATTCTGTTATAGGAACGGGAAATAAGTAGGATTTGTAGAAATATGAAATATGGCTAGCATTTGCTCATAGGAGTTGTAGCACTGTGATTTTTATCTTGTGTTAGGTATGTGCCTGCATGCTACTGCACATACTTGAGAACTGTGGACAAATCTTATCTTCACATTGTTCAGAATACCCAGTACTCAGCTGTACACTTAGGAGCAGTAGGTAGGGTCCCAACAGTAACAGAGGTGTCAGAAGACCAGGATATGAGATTTTTTAAATTATCCTTTGGTGAATAAATTCATGCAAAATGTTAGGTGAGTTTAATTCTTTAACTGTATTTTGTATGACCTAGTCTGTTAGCTTTTCTACCTAACAAACTACCCCCAAACTTAGTACAAGTTGAGTATCCCTTCTCTGAGATACTTAGGATAGGAAGTGTTTCAGACTTCAGATTTTTCAAATTTTAGAATATTTGCAAAGGCTCTACCAGTTGAGCATCCCTAACATGAAAATCTGAAAGCTGGAATGCTCCAGAATCTTCTAGATTTTCATAGTAGGGATGCTAGACCTAGAGCCTCAAATCATAGTCATGATTCTGCAGGGTGGCAGTTTGGGCTGGGCTTATTGGGCTAGTTTAGCTGCCTTATGCATCTTCAGTCCCCTGCCAGCTTGTCTGGGACCTGAGCCAGGGAGGATGGCCTCAGTGGGATGGCTTATCTCTGTCCCACACATCCCTCATCCTCTAGCAGGTTAGTCTGAGCTTGTCCACAGAGAAGCAAGGCTCCAAGGCAGGGAGCATTCTTGAAGCTTGGGCTGAAGATGCAGTGTGACCACTGCTGCATTCTATTAGCCAAAACAAGTGACAGTCCAGATTCAAGAGCTGGGAAATAGACGTCGGCCCTTAGTGGAAGGAACTGCTGAGCCAGCTTTCAAATGGCAGGGATACAGGGAGAGTGGAAGTGTGCACATATTTTACTGAGGGAATTAACATTACAATAGAGATGTGGAAAGGAAGCCATTCACATGGTTTATAACTTACAATGATCTGATGGGATTGAGAGGGATTGAGAAGAGAGGATGAGAAGAGGCTGAGACCAATATAGAATAGAAAAGTTTTCAATGAGGTGGTACGTTTCTGTAATCCCAGCTATTTAAGTGGGCAGAGGCAGGAGGATCTTAAGTTTGAGACCAGCCTGGACAAAGTTAATGAGACCCTACCTTGAAAAACAAATAAACAAAAGGCTAGGAGCAAAGCTCAAGTGGTAGAGCACTTAAGCAAGGCCCTGGATAAAATCCATACTACCAAAAGATTAAAAAAAAAAGAAGAAGAAGAGGCGCCATCTGCAATCCCTACTTCATCTCCCTAAGTCTGTGAAAGGGCAAGGGGAAATTGAGACAGGGCAGCAGAGCACAGGGTTGATAGGTGGGAATTGAAATTTCTTTTTCTTTGCTGTTGTTTTCTCCTCTTGTTGTCTGGCAGGGGGTGCCAAACTGTGAGGGCTTGGCAGGCAGATTGGAGGTAACTGGTCTCTAACTGGGTGGAAAGAAACCCCACTGAATTCAACAAGCCTGGAATAGCATTAGTTCTGCCTGCCTCCCTGCCACTGCAGCTTCAAGCTTCCTGTGGCTTCTCCCATGGGTTCATGTGTTGGAGAAGGCAGGGCAACCAAAGAGGAGGGAAAGGGTCAGATGGTTTCCTATATTCTTTTCAAGGCTTCAACTTACAAATGCTTGGCCTCTTAACACCACTGCCGCATGTATTGTTGTATTTAATCACAATAGACCTATAAGGATGACGTTAGGGTCAGCTTTCTGCATCTCTGGGTTCTGTATCCACAGATTCAATCAACAGTGAGTGAGTGGATAGAAAACAGTTAAAAAAAATTCATCTGTATTGAACAAGTATAGACTTTTTTCCCCTTGTCCTTGTTCCCCAAACAATACAACTTTTACACAACATTTGCATTACGTTATGTATTATAAGCAATCTGAGGATGATTTAAGGTACACAAGAGAATGTGTATAGTTTACATGCAAACACTATGACATTTTACTTAATATCCGAGGGGCACCTAGAACCAATCCCCTGTGGGTACCAAGAGATGATGGTGTTATTGTTTTCATTTTACAGGTGGGGAACTGAGATAATGGCCAAGGTGGAATTTGAAGCCAGGCTGTGTGATTTCACAGTGCCCTGTGCTGAG